TTGGAAATCGAGATCAAATCCCATAAAACAGATTTGTTTTTATCACAATTCACCATTTAATCCAGAAAGTGTACCTTTTCACACCAAGTTATGGTACTTTCTCTACACCATGTATATGAAGAAATAAAACCTTACTTTGGGTGTCAGGGATTCCTAATACGGCTTTCCATCACAATCCCAACATAGATCTGTGCAGCATTATAAAATTTTCATTACTGTGTGACACTCTTTATAAACATATACATTAAAATACAATTATAACTATTGTCAGAACATTTTTAGTATGTCAGTTTGTAAAGCAATACCATAGTCTCAAGGGTCTATATGTAATTAAATATCACTACTAAATAATCTGTGTACTAGGTTTCTTTTGTGGATTCACATTTTCCTATAAACTTATTTTCACGTATATGTAAAAAATTAAGATCAAGAGAAATATTCTAAAATGTGAATTTCAAAATACCATTTTCAAATAACACATACCTCTTTCAGGAATCCTGTCGTACCTTGATATTACTATCTCAAACAGTCCCCTTGTAACTCAGAATTTTATGGAGTACATGTATGAGAGTATGCGTTGTCCAGTAGTGGAGTCCTTGTTTTTACCTTATTTTGCTTCATGTTATAATTTTTTTTTCCAACTGAAGACATTATTTTAACTTATTTATAAAGGGTTTGATACCAAAAGGATCAGAACAAGTGATAAAGAAACATTGGACAAGAAACAAGTCTATAGGCCTATGGGGATCCAGGATTAAAAAAATGATCACTTTTGAAATGCATTAGGAAGGGTACATTTCATGACTTTCAAGTTGTTACTTTTTGATAACATTCATCAATTTCAACTTTGAATATTTCAGTATGGCAACTTGCTATTGCTAGGATTGTCTTTGAAATTAAAAATTACTAGAACTCATCGCTATCAATGGTTGAAATTATTCAATCAATACAAATTCATGAAACCTGAAAGTACATACACACATGATGGATGACAAACAATGGAAAGTGATTATGGAATGGGAGGTAAAGCATTCAAATTCTTAACTTATAAAATTTTTTTTTTAATTTGTGGCTGAATTTTCATTCCATAAATAATCTCAACATCACCAATTACCATAGCCTTTTATGCTCATTAAATTGGAACCAACAAATGCACTTGCAACCTGCTGTATAATTGCTGGATTTTCAGCTAAATGTTTTTTAATTTTTTTTCTTTCTTCACCTGTAAGAAAGAAATTATTATTTTGACGCAGGAATATAAGGGAATTATTATCATCATTCTTGCTTGCATCATTGGATGTTGTACAACCATTACTAACTTTACTCCCTTCCTTCTTTGTCTCAGTTTTTTCAAAATTAGAGGATTTTTCACTTGTTATGACACTACTATCAAACTCGGTAACAGCATTTCTACTTACACTTTTATTTTGTAAAGTTTGCTTTTGACGAATTTCACTAATAGATTTGGTATTGCACATAAATTCTTCTCGGCTGGTTGGTTTCTCATCTAGATTTGTGTCGCTTAGTGCAGAATTGTACTCAGTGCAGGGTGTATTAGAATCGCCCATGTTTTCCTTCATCTTTTTCTTTTTCTTCTTTTTGCTAATTTCAGAACTTTGCAAGGTACTGTCATTTGTGTTGACTATGGCACAATTCTCAGAGTTTCCGTCAATCTTTCTACTTTTCTTTTTAAAACTCCTTTCAGAATTAAATACATCCACATCTTCAGTGGCTTCTGATTCTTTACATTGATCATTTATAGACTCTGTTGAGGTATTTGCAAAAGCTTGCATAGAACACGCATTGGGTTCAAGAGTAAAACTTGAAAATGAATGCCTTTTATTTTTTTTCTTTGGATTCCCACTCTCTTCAAGTTCCTCATTTACATAACTCACTTCAGAGACAATTGTACTACTTTCCACACATGTTTTTTCGTGTTTTTGAGACACACAAAGCTGCTTGTTTCTCTTCAGTAAATTAAATGACTTATTATCCATGTCAAATTGTTCACTAGAACTTTCACACTCTAGTGAGGCAAAAACTTCGTTCGTTACTTTGATATTTGAGAGAGTACCACAATTAGAAGTTTCACGTAACAAATCTAAATTTTTCTTTGTGATTTTCTTTCCAACAATACCTTCGAAGTCTTTTGCTGAGTAATTACTAATATCTTTTGCTCGAGCCATTTTTTTGTACCTGAAAAAGAAAAAAAACGCATTTACATAAAAGGCAGCACAATAAATATAGATATACTTTTGATTATCAAAAATTACATATTGAAAATATAGATTGAAATAAAGAAATCAATATCTTCAGAGCTGCAAGTGAAGATTACAGTCCAAATATATGACAATAAAATAAAACAATTCAAAAAACACCCAATATTGCATTGCTTCAAACAATTACTAAAAAATGTGTAATGGATACTGTATGTCATATTGTCTCCTTGAGTAGGGCTTGGAAAATTAATCATATGCATTTTTAGTATAAACACATTTGCATGCACATGTAGAGTGATGCACGCACATTACATTTATTTTGCCTCTAAGAAAATTGTCATGGCTTGTAAAATCCATTAATAGATTTATCAAATTTTAGTGAAATGAAGTCCATTGAAATTCGTTATTTTTAATTAAAAATATTGTTTTGTGTTTGTGATGGTATGGGCTGAGTAGAGAGCACAAACCAAAACCATTCGCCAAAATCATTATTCAAGGAATCTTTCATCTTATAAGGAAAAATCAATTTTGGATGAAAATTGCAAAACGGATTTTGGAGCCATTTCCCCCCAGAATTTTTAGGTGATATTTTTATAGAGTACATGTCTTTATTTAAAATTAAATTTATTGGAAAAAAAAACACTGCTTCACGGACGGGGAG